GCGGGTGGGGGCTCTCAGCACTGACAGGTGCTTCTGTGTAAGGTCCACACTCACGAGGATACGTCTAGATCCGAGTCAGGGGAAGAGTGAGGGAAGGGCCAGCAGAGGGGAAGGCGGCTGAATGAGGGCATGAGGACGAGGAACGGGGGGACAGGAGCACAGAGGTGTCCCCCTGGCTCCGAGGAGGACAGCCGCCCTTTGGGGACCACAGGAAGGAAGTCGGAATAAAGATCCACAGGAGGACTTGTCACCCCGAGGAGAGGAGTTAGCAGAGTTCTCACAGAGAGCTGGCCAGGGACAGTGGGGACAGCAGGGGACAACAGGGACAACGGGGACAGCGGGGACAGCGGGGGACAGCGGGGGACAGCGGGGACAGCAGGGACAACGGGGACAGTGGGGACCATGGGGACAGTGAGGGACAGCAGGGACAGCAGGGGACAGTGGGGGACAGCAGGGACAGCGGGGACAGCCGGGACAGGCTGCATTAGTGAGCTATACTGCAAGCTAGATGCTGGGAAGGCACTCAGGGACAGAGCCCACGGGCAGGCTCACTGTCACCCACACTCGGGGAGCCGGGGGGCAAAGCAGAGAGGCAAGGTCACGTGCAAGGGCCGGGCCCCGAGGGCAGAGTTAGGACTGGGGCCCAGGCCTGGAGCTGCCGCCCAGAGCCCCGGCCGTTCCTTTAGACCATCTCTGGAGTCGGCCGGGAGCGAGTGCAGAGCCAGCTGGTGACCCCGAGCCTTGGCCACCCACACACACAGACCAGGAGGCGGTGACGCGGCACTTGCCAGGTCACACAGGGTGCAGCCTGAGACAGAGGCCGCCAGAGGTCGGGCTGAGGGTGATGGGTGTCTGTAGGATGAGAGGCCCCACGGGGATGGGTGGTGAAAGACACACAGCAGAGGAAGGGACCATCGTGGCACAGGGGTCCAAGGGCCTGGCCCTGACTTCAGGGGCGCGCCGCGCTGGGCCGTTGGTCGTAAGGCTTCCGGGCGGGAGGCTGTGCACGGAGGGTCTCACTCCCGCTGAGCAGGAGGACCCCCCGTGGGAGGGAAGCGAAGGTCACCTTGCAGGTGGCAGGGGCAGCGGGGGCGGGTCCGGCTGCACGGTGAGCGGCTGGAGCCCAGCAGGGGGCCAGGGGGGCCCCGTGGGGATCCGAGCAGGGGGCCCGACCAGCCCCCAGGGAGGCCTGATGTGGGAGTCAGCCGGAGCCGAGCGATTGGGGCGTCAGGGGGGCTCCCGTGTCAGCTGTCGGCAGTGATGGGATGAGCCAGAGCCGAGGGGCCTGGGAGGCACCGCCGGGACGGGAGCGGGAAGCAGGGGCGTGGGCGGCAGGGGTGGAAGCCACGTGACCGCGGGCTTAGATTTGGGGAGTGGGTGAAGATGACAGCCGAGTTTCCCACAGACCCATCTACAGCCTGGGATGGGGAGGGGGTGTCAGGGGCCCAGGGGTGTCTAGGCTTCCCCTAGAGATGCGACCACCCAGCCCTGACCTGGGAAACAGCAGGGGGCTAGAAATTCGGTCGGGCCCATCCCCCGACTCCTCGAGGGCGGGAGGGAGGCCGGCTGCTGCCCCTGCGGCCACGACCTCGGCCCTCACGGCCTCCGGACCCCGCGGTGGCCCCTTCCTTACGACCTGTGTGCTTGTCAGCTCACAGGGCAGCTGGAAAATGTCTTCGGACAGAGCGGGCCCTGCTGCGTTTAAGGGCTTCGGGCTTCCCGGCCTGTCTACTGTCCCCACAGCGCCGGTGAAGGAAGGACGCGCAGACGCTGGCGTTAGCGTTCTTGGCGGTCCCGAGTTGTAAACCGGGGACAGGTCACGTCACCCAGCGAACCCGCACGCAGGGGTGGGCGACTGCGGGCGTGTTACTGCCAGCTTGCGGCGTCTCTGACCCCTCGGGACTTTCTTCGTGTCTGCACGTTAAAGGTCAGGCGAGGGACCGGGGAAGGGGCCGCATGACGCGTGACACTCCTTACGGTAAGCCTCCAGCTGCTTCAGGCGACTGGGGCAAAAATGCTTGGCTTTCTTTCCCCCCGAGACACGGGAATCGCGGCTGTCGCCCTCCTTTCCCGGCCTCGGACGCGGGAGACTGAGGCCGGGCCTCGTCCGGTTGTGCAGACCACGTCAGGCGAGGTCTCGCGGGCGAGCGGAAGGACTGCCTTCAGTTAAAATGAACTATTTCCGTCTTCTTGCACAGGCACAAACTTATTTTTTTTCAAGGAGAGACTGGTTGCGGGGGAAAATTGTTCTTTTCATGATTTAAGACTTTCTCTTGGAGTCTGAGCTCGCGGTGGCCTCAGCGGGGAGCGATGGTTTACTCCCCGAGTCCCCTGCAGGCTGACTCCACCAGGCTGGCCTAGAACTCACGGCCGGGCAGCACGGAGCGTCCCCGCGGTCTTTGTGTGTATGAAGGCTGCAAATTTGGTCAGCTTTTGCCGCCACGGCCCCCGGCCAAGAGCAGCTCTCTCTTGTGTTTTGAAAGAGCGAGTTGGGTTTCTCATCTTGTCCCTGGACGTGTGTCTCTCGTTTGAGACAGTACGTGAGGCGAGCCCGCCCTTTCCCGATCCGTGAGGCAGCATGCAGTTCCGTGTTCTCGCCGTCGCTTCCCAATTCAAACACTGACGCAGAATAAGCCGGATGCCTGGCCCACCCGGCCTCCCTCCGGGAGCGGGGCTCTGCAGCCCGACGCTGGACATCCCCCGGGGCTCCAGAGGCTCCCGCAGAACCTTCGATCCGGGCCACTTGTTCCCGTCTGTTCATTCGCCCTGACGGTTCAGGAAAGACAGGTGCCATTGCTATAGCAACCCTCACACACCAGTGCGCTGCATTTGAGATTCAGAACGTCTGGGCTAAAAATACTCCCTCGCCCTGCTAGCCGCCCAAAGGGGTGTTCTGGGTTGATGAACACAGAAAACGTGAGCTGTCGTGTGCCCAGTTCACTTAACCTGTCTTTTCCAAGCAAACAAGACATCCCGAGGACCCGTTCACGCCTCATGCGAGGACAGGAGTCAGCCTCTGCCCTCGCCCACCCACCGGCGCCTTCCTGGGGTGGGATGAGGCTGGCAGAAAGGCTCCTTTTCTTTTTAAATAACCTTTTTATTTTGGAATCATTTGAGCTCACAGAGAAGTTGCAAAGACAGTCTGGAGAGTTCCCGTATAGCGTTGACTTAGTTTCCCCTAACGCTAACATCTTACAAAATCGTGGTAACACTTGTCAAAAAGAGGAAGTAATGTTGGTACATGAGTCAACTAAACTTTAGACTTTCTTTGGTTTTCTCTAGTTTGTGTGCTCCAGGGTCCCAGCCAGAGGCCACACCCAGGGCCCCCAACCAGGGTCCCATCCAGAGTCCTCCAGGGTCCCTCCCGTGGCCCGACCCAGGCCCCCACCCAGGGCCCCCACCCAGGGCACCTATCACGTTGAGTTGCCGCATCTCCTTTGTCTGATCTGTGAAAGTTTCCTTGTTGTTCATGACCTTGACAATTCGGAAGAATACCGGTCAGGCATTTGGTAGCCTGTCTCTCATTTGGGGTTATCGGATGTTTCCCATGATTAGGCCGGAGTTATGGCTCTGGGGGAGGAAGCCTCCAGAATAAAGTGCTTTTTCTCATCACATCAGTCACTGAGGATGAGAAGAACCTTGATAGGCGGTCAGCCTGGACCCGCCAGACTCAAATTTAATCTTGAAATCTAAAGATGCCAACCTCCAGACAAACACATCAGCTTAAAGTCAGAGTGGCCGTGTCACTAGAATATTCATGAAATTGGGGTGTGTTTGCTCTGGCACTGTACCTACTAAGGGGGCCACCGTACCTGTTGGCCACGGAACGTGGAAACACCTGCCACTCACAGCCCTGGTGTCTCAGACTTGGATTTTCTTCCTACTCCCCCCACCCCCCACCTCCCGTCTGGTGACCATCAGTGTGTTCTCTGTAGGTAAGAGTCTGTTTCTCGGTTTTCCTCTCTCTTTTTTCCCTATGATTGTGTGTTTTGTCTCTCAAATTCCACCTACGAGCGAAGTCCTATGGTATTTGTCTTCCTGTGACTGACTTATCTCACTTAGCGTAATACACCCTAGTTCCATCCGTGTCATGGTAAATGGCAAGGCTTCGTCCTTTTACGACTGACTGATATTCCATTGTATACATGCCACATCTTCTTTATCCACTTGTCAGTCAGTGGACATCTGGCTCTTGGGCATGATCCTGCCATAAACGTCGGGGTGCTTGTGCCCTCTGAATCGGTATTTTTATACCCTTTGAGTAAATACCAAGCAGTGCAATTGCTAAATCTTGGGGTAGTTCTATCTTTTTTTAATGTTTACTTATTTTTGAGAGAGGGAGGAGAGAAAGCACGTGCGGGGAAGGGGCAGAGAGAGAGAGGGAGAGAGAGAATCCCGAGCAGGCTCTGTGCTACCAGCACAGAGCCCGACGTTGGGGCTTGATATCATGAACCGTGAGATCGTAACCTGAGCCGAAACCAAGAGTCGGACGTTTAACCCGCTGAGCCACTCAGGCGCCCCAAGGTAGTCCTATTTTTAACTTCTGAGGAACCTCACGCTGTTGTCCATAGTGGCCCCACCAGTTTGCTTTCCCACCAACGGCGCACAAAGGTCCCTTTCTCTCCACATCTTCGCCAACACCTGTGCTTTCTTGTGTTGTTGGTTTTAGTCATTCCGACAGGTGTGAGACGACATCTCATCCCGGTTTTGATTTGCATTTGCCTAAGGATGAGTGACGTTGGGCACATTTCCTGAATCTGTCGACCATCCATAGGAAGACAAGAAATCTTCAAAATACTCTGAGGAGCTGCTAACTCCCAGGTCTTGTTATCAGACTCTCTTTGTGGGTGAACTTGTACTAACATGGACACCTCGCAGACCCGGACAACAAGGGCACCTCCTCTGAGCCTTCCAAACAGCCTCCTGTTGTCCCAAACACACGTATGTTGTTCATAATGTGCGTCTCACGTTGTATCGTGCCGGTGGCCTTGCCCTCCTGAGTCCCTCCCGTGATAGGTGGACACCCGAGTAACCAGATGCCAAGAGAAACCTTCTGGGTGTTGATGTTCACAGGCAGGGCCACAGGAAACCCTGCTGCTGGCCCCCAACCTTCCCCGCGGTGCTGGAGGGCCTCTCTTCCCTCCATCCCTCCCCTGCAGAATGTAGGGAGAGGGAGCAGGGCAAAGGGCAAGGGAAGGAGGGGAGCTGGGGGAGGGAGGTGTGTGGGAGTTCCGTGTGTGCTCTCTCTCCCACCGTGCACAGCTGCCCACCGTGCAGGAAGGGAAGTCCCTACGACTTCCCAGACTCCCGCTGTCCCCAGGAATAACAGGCGCAGATCACGTCTGGTCCCACCGAGGCTGGGGGCAGAGGGCAGTCCGTTCCTCCTGCCCGAGCTACAGGACTACACTTGACACGTTGGTCTACTTATTGTCTCATGCTCTCTACTCTGGTTACACGTCCTGTGTTACCTCTACTCCCACCGGGGTGGGGGACTTCTGGGCAAAAACCAGAAGGAACGAAGAGGAAGAGGCAGCTCTTGTCCTGGAATCGCCCCCCCACCCCGTTTCCTTGCGTTACTATTTATCCTCTGAGCGAGCGCATTGGGTCTCTGACATGGCGCAGCAACCCCACGGGACGTGGGCTCGGTGTTTTACCTGTTGGTTCCCTACTCGCTTCATGAAGTCGCCGTCCATCCACGGGTCCACTTGGCCATTCCACGAGTACTTTTACTGACACTTTGAGAGCGCTGGAATTACTGTGATGAGGATGGGACGCTGGGCGGGATGGCCTCGTGGGGAACTTGACCGAAAAATCAGAGGCGTGCCGCCGCTGGCCGGCCACGTGCAAGGGCACGAGGCATAGAAGCCTGGCGGTGGGGCCGGAGCGGGGGGCACGCTCCACAGCGACAGGTGGTGCTGGGCTGGGACAAGGCCAGGTGACAGCGGCATCTGCCCCCCTGATGAGATATTTGTTCTACCCCAAAGCCAGGCGGGGCCACTGAAGGCACCGGTGTGGGAGGGATATGACACGTTTACACTGTAGAAAGATGGCCGTAGCAGCAGTGTGGGGTAACACGGAGCAGGTAAGACAAGAGAGGAGGAAACAGGTCTGGAGCTGACGAGAGACGAGGCAGGGAACCGTCCAGACGGGACACATGGGCCACAGGAGAGGGAACCCAAGCCCAAGTCCAGTGAACGGGCCGAGAGCTTCCTGAGAGCAGACATCACACCTTGTTCATGTTTGCAGACCTCAGTGCTGTGACTGCCGTGTAGTTGGTGTGGATGGACAGTGGTGTAGACGGAGGCAGGAGGGGTGAAGGGGACCCGAATCCAGCTTGTGTGATCTTTGGGAGAGACCCGGCTTTGTTTCTAAGCTGAAGGGAAGGAGGGGAGAGCACAGGCTGAAGGTGCAGGAGAAGGGCTCCAGTGATGGGGTCAAGTGCCCGAGGAGACAGGAGCGGAGTGTGGCCTCTGTGGAACGTGCCCAAGGAGAGGTGTCCTTGGCGAAGAGAAAACTCCACCGGCCAGAGGGGAGGGTGTGGTGGCCAGGGCAGCTCAGGAGGACAGAGAGGGACAGGCGGGCACTGGGCATCAGCCGGGATGCTCGGGACGACCCCTGGGGGTCCACCGTCCCTGCCGAACGCTGTCAGCCTCCCCGCACGTCTGCCAGCTCCCTCAAGTCACGGAGGTGGGGATGCTTGCAGTCCTCAGCCAGGAGCACCACACGTCTTAGCACCCCTGCAAACTGGAAACAAAAATCGTTTACTTCCACCCAGAAGCACGTATCAGGTTGCAGCAGGCTGCTCGGGCCGCCAACAGACTACGGTGGGCGGGGGGTCTGGCAACACTCGAGGCTGTTTCCCACAGTCCTACAGGTCCGGGTGTGGACAGGCTGGCTCTGCGGAGGCCCCTCTCCTTGGCCTGCGGACGGCTGTCTCCTCCCTGTGTCCACACACGATCGTCCCTTTGTGCACGTCTGTGTCCTGACTCCCTCTTCTTATAAGGACACTAGTCATGTGGGACGGGTGGGGGGGCCTCCCTAACGAACTCATCTACCTCCATCACCTCTTTTAAGGCTCTGTCTCCACACACAGTCGCATTCCGAGGTCCTGGGGTTAGGATTGCTTGCGTTCGTCTTTGCTTGGGACCCCAGGGAGTGGTCGTGCCTCGTGTGGCACACAGGTCAGGCCTCCAAGCTCACCTTTTCCTTTCCCACGTAGTCACCCACCGAGTGACGGCTTGGCCCGAGTTCCCACCAGTGCTAACGTCGCGTGAATTCTGTTTCCTTTACGTACGATGCTTCCTCACTGCCAACGATGTGTCGCCTGACTTGGCAAAGTCCCCATCGTGAAATAATTCCGGTTTTGGTACGAAGCGAAAATTCCTGATTTTGTTGAGAAAGTTGGGCAGCGGGAAAGCCACCGTTTTCAGCAATAGTTGAAAGCAATCGTTTGAGGTTTTGAAGCAACGTGTTCATGCCCGTGTCTCCCCCGCAGCTCTGTACGGCGTTCTGTTTGAGAAGAACAAGGAGGCGGCCTTTGCGAACTACCGCCTGTGGGAATCGCTAGGCTTCGTCATCGCCTTTGGATACAGCACATTTTTGTGTGTCAACGTCAAACTCTACATCCTGCTGGGGGTCCTGAGTCTGGCCATGCTGGCCTACGGGACCGTGGAGTATCTGGAGGCCAAGAAGGCGGCCAGGCCAGCCGCTGCGGAGCAGGCAAAGCCAGCAGAGGGGGAGGAAACGGAGACAGCCATGTGAAAGGGATGCGCACCAGGCCCGGGAGCCCCGCGTCCCCAGGAGATCTCCATGTGAAGTGCCTCAGACTTTATAACCGATTCTTCTCAACTACGGCAGCGACACCGAGCCGTCCTGAAGACATCACACCGTCACGTGGTTTTCTGTGATTTTTTTTTTCTATTCTAATAAGCGTTCCATCCACCCTGTCGCTCGCAGAGATCGAGAGGAAACGTGAAGGGATCCATTCAGCTCACAAAAGAAGAAAGTCGGGTGTATCATCAGCCAACGGGAACTTGCTTAGATACAACAAACCACTGTACTTGCTTCTGTCGTACTCGCTGTCGTGGTCGTTCGTGAGAATTGGAAGGATGTGGACGTAGGGAGTCCAACACCGTCGTTTTACAAATGGGTAAACTGATGTCCAGGCAAGCCCGCCGACTCCCTCCCGGAGTCAGTGAGCGACAAAGCCAGGCAAGAGTTCACGTCTCTTGAAGCTTATAGACGATGAGTTTCTAAATAAATGCAACTACATCATGGGCTTATCTTCTGTGCAAACACTTTTATTCTAAATACTCAGTAGAGCACACACACACCAGTCACCAAGTAAGTGAGTGAGCCCGCCGTAGACTAGAATCTGTAAGACAACTGTTACACACCCACCTTCCGATCAGAACCCGCGTCCACCAACGGTCTATTCCCTCTATTCCCACCCTCATCGTCTTTAACAAGCTGCTAACGCTGGCCTCTGCCCCCTGCTGAGCCTCTCCCTTTTCCACGGCTCTCAGAGCCCTCTGGCCCCTCTGACAGTGTCCTGGGGTTTGTCACCCTTGCCCCCTTCACCCCAAGGCACCTGCTCTTTGCCCAGGCTTCTCCCTCCACTTCCCGTGAAGCCCCTCCCGCTTCCCCATGAACAGGCACCCCCACCCAGGCCCCAGCCTCCGTTGCAGCCCGGCACTCTTCCAGACCTTCAGCGAAGCCCCATCAGGTCAAACCTCTGTTGAAAACCCTTCCATGGCTCCCCATCTCAATGAGGCGAGTTGAGTCCTGTCCCAAGGAGACCGCCAGGCTCCTCTCCAGGACATCTTGTTCCAGACCTTTGCTCGCACGCCTCTGCAACCTTGAGAATCTTCCGGCCCCTCCACACCAACGCACCCAGCTCATGACAGGCATGGTCCCCTCCACCTTGGAGGCTAAGGCTTCCATAAATAAACCATGTGGCGTTCCTGGATGCAAATCAGGTAAGACAGGCCGGTGTGGAACTGATCTTCGGTTTCTCTCTCGGCTCAGAGCCTCTGAGAGGGAGACACCCCAACTCGCTTAGGAATCCCTCCTACCTTCCAGAGGCGCCCTGGAAGATGATCCTGGAAAAAAACGGGCCACATCGTCCTGACCCCACCGGACGTCTGCTGAGACATAGATGGCACTGAGAAGCGTGCCCTGGGCCAAAGGTCGACAGGAAAGCACCCCCCCACCCCAGGCTGAGAGCAGAGCCGGAAGTTTGTGCAAAGCCCTGGAGAGACCTGGAGAGGCACCTGTCCAAACTGGCACCCCACGGCAGAGCCCAGACACAGGGGGGACGCAGGCAGGCCTGATATTTTATGTTATTTTATCTTATTTTGTCTCGTTTTATTTTATTTATTTTTTTAATTATTATTTTGGAAGGCCGGGGAGGCGCCCTCGGTGGTTGGTGGCATTGGGCAGCTTGCTGTCGAGTGTCTGGCTTAAACGGCAAAGGCTGGATGCTCTGCTCTGTCGCTCGGGGTGCCAGCCCCTTCCTGATCCATTGGGCACTCGAAGATGAGGGGAGCGTGGGCTGAGGGGCCTGGTCTGGAACTTGGGGCCCCAAGGCCAGCCTGGTCCCAACGCGGGGAGCAAAGGCTCTCTCAGTAAGGGCTGAGGGCACGGTGTCCCCCGGCACCCCCACAGCAGGGGTCTCGCTGGCCTTGAAAGAGGCTGAGGGGTCCCACGGGTCCTGACCTCGTTTGCCTTAGTGGATGCGGTGACAGAGGCCCACAGGTCAGCGCTGCCGCGGACACGGGCTGTGGTCCGGGGCGGCCGGCCGGTGCTCCGGAGGCTCTGGGCAAGCGGCACTCTCCCATCCGCCAAACGAGCCGCCTGGCTGGACATCGGGTCTCCCCGAACATCGCCTCCTACACCATCACCGCCTTCTCTTCTCTCTCCCCGCTCCGAACTGTCTGATGAGAAGAGTTGGTGAGCGTGCCCCTGTGCCCAGCTGCGGGGCCTGGCCGGCGGGTGAAGGATGGGTGGCCAGTGGCCTCGGTCAGACGAGCACTTCCTGCCTCGCCTGTGCCAGCGGGAAGCCTGGATTGTAGCAGAAAGGAAGTGATTGAGTCTCACTCTCAGTCTTCCATTTGTCCGGTGAAGATCTCCCTGCTTCCCCGGAATCCGGACAAGGTGTTGTTGCGAAACTCCATGTACAACGGGGTGTCCCCGCCTCTTCCCCGGACTGAGGTTAAAAGACAGCCCTGCCCGTGCGTCCCTAGACTCCGTGGCGTTATTACAAACCTCGACTGATCTGATCCAACAACCATAAATCGCTTGGCCCGACTCCCAGGGCTCAGCAACAAATACCTAATTTTACTGCTTGCTCAGAGTAACTGAAGGGGGTGAGGTTGAACAACTGTAGAACGTATGAATGTATATATGTCACAATGTATGATTAAAAACCTTCCTGAAACCAGAGATAAATCTAAAATAAAATGGCAAAGGTAGAAATAGGAAACTTAAAAGCAGCTAATAAAGAGAAAGTAAATGTCTTAAAAAATCTAGGCTTGCAGCCGGTAGGGAGTTCCTGCGATTTACAAAAATGAGCCCAAGCGTCCTGGCAGCCAAGGCAATTAAAAAAAAAAACAAAAAAAACAAAAAAACATTATATAATCATCGTGACTTGATAAAAGGGGCCTTGTCAGTGTTTTCACAGAGAATCATTTTCCAGGTCCTAAAATGTAAAGGGGTGTTCATGCGGGTCCCCCAGTGGAGACCGGGGGCAGGCACGGCAGACGCGGTCTGACGGACCTCCGCGTGTGTTTTATGGCGGTTTGATCTTGACAGAGCAGAGGGCCTGCAGTCCGAAGGGGGTCCTGTGCCCAGGTGCCTCGGGGAGCCAGCACGCCCAGGGCGGGGGCTTCGGGGACGGCTGGGTCACTTTCTGCTGCGGGAGCCTAGAGCCTTCTCCTCCAGAGCTTGGGCCCAGGGCCTTCGGAGATCCTACCCTACCCCCGACAGGGGCTGGATCGGGGTCCACTCCAACCTGGGTTATTCAGGGAGTCACCGCACACAAGCCATTTCACTGGTCAGCAAGTGACCGAGTCAGAGAGGAAGTACCAAGGGACTTCACCACTTCCGGCCTCACGTCGAAATCAAACCCAGAGAGTCTCCTTCCTCCGGGGCCTCTTTCCAGGCCCACTTCTGGCCACTGGCCCCAACTCGAGTCCTCCCAGAAGCCCCTGCGCCCCCTTCCCGACCACGTGACCGTTCGTCCCCCTCCCCCCGACCCTGGCCCACAGTGTGCTAATGTCCCCAAGCCCTGCGTCCCTGGGCGCTCACCACTGCCTTGCTGAATCACTTCCTCTCCAGCTCACAGACCCACGAGGCCCGGCCTTCTCTTTCCAACGTCGGCATAAAATATATGCGACGTGGGCCTCGTCACGGAGTGCGTCCCAATCGCCTCACCCCAGCTAAACCAGGAGTCTCCGTGCACGCGTGCTCTGGTGAGATGACCAGAGAGGGAGGCGCCTCACTCTCCCGAGTCTGCTGGCCTCCAGACCCCCACCAGGCACCCCCGGAACCCAGCGCAGTGGGAGAGCACCATGCAGCACGGGTGTCCCGTGAGTGGCAGGGCAGGCCCCCAGCCTCAGGATCGGCACTACCAGCGCCCCGAGCGCCTGACCCCCCGCAAGCCTTCCACGTGCGTGACCTCATTTCGCGACCTCCGGACTCGTGGGCATCCGGCTTGGTCTTTCCTGACCTCTGACCCAAAGGCACTAAGTCCTTCTCAGATGCCCGGGCCCCAGCGTGGGGGCCTGACTTCGGGCAGTCCGGGGTGGAGCCCGGGTACCAGCAGTTTTAAAGGCTCCCCCTGTGACGGGGCGCTTGGGGGGCTCGGTAGGCTAAGCCACCGACCTCGGCTCAGGTCATGATCTCGCAGTACCTGGGTTCGAGCCCCGCGTCCGACAGCTCGGAGCCCGGAGCCTGCTTCCGATTCTGTGTCTCCCCCTCTCTCTGCCCCTCCCCTGCTCGTGCTCTGTCTCTCTCTCTCTCTCCCAAAAATAAATAAACAGACAAAATTAAATAAATAAAATCTCCCGTGGCTTGACTCTGTGGTTGATGTATGAGTTGAACTGAGCATTGCTTTTATTTTGTTTATTTATTTATTTAATATTATTTTAGAGAGAGAGAGAGCGTGCGGGGAAGGGGCAGCGAGAGAGAGAGAATCCCAAGCAGGCTCCACACCCAGCGCAGAGCCCGATGGGGGTTCCATCCCAGGACCCTAAGATCATGACCTGAGCTGAAATCAAAAGCCAGACGCTCAACCGGCCGAGCCCCCAGGCGCCCCGTAACCAAGCATTGCTTCTAAAGTGGATTATTTCTGGGTCCTTGATGCTTCGTGCCCACTTAATTAGTTCATGGCATGTGAAGTGCGTTTTTTAAAGTTGGAGACAACTTCTAAAGAATTTCTGGGACTAAGTATTCACTCATTATTTATTCGTTCATTGCAAATATTCATTAGATACTGTTATTACCGTGGTTCGCGTCATCTGACGTCGCAGGATTCCGTTGCCCCTGGGATGCCATAAAACAACACAAAGATAATAGTAGTTCCACCCATATTTAGCCCACCAGCCTAGGGAAACTCCACACCGTGGCGCACTGAGGCCCCAGGAGCACACACACCTTGGCCATTGGTACCTCCAGCCTCGGCCACTCCCTCACTGTCAACGGCACCCCTTGCTCTCCCCACCCCCCCCGCCAGCCTCCAGTGGCCCTGCACCCCCGCCCAGGTGGCCTGGAGCCCTTCGGAGGCTCCCCCTCCTCCTCGGCCACCCGCAGGCAGGCGGGCATCCCGAGGTCCGGCCCCTGCCAGGGACCACCCTGGTGCTCTGGTCCGCCTCCCAGAGTCACCGGCCGCAGGCTCCTCCCCAACACTGACGTCACCCCACCTGTCACCCCCTGTCAGTCACCAGCCCTGTCCATTTTGCTTTCTGGAATTCTTCCAAACCCCTTCTCTCCCCGTGGTCTCTGTTGGCGGATGACCCCATCAACAGTCCCTCGAAGTGCAAGGCTGACACGGTACTGTCCCTGCCCCTTCACCAGTAATGGCCGTTCTCTTCAAGATAAAACCCCAATGCCCCCACCCGGGGTGCGGGGCTCCCCATGACTTGTCCCACCTCACCTGCACCTGACCACCCCCCCC